TTTTTTCTGTTGTTAGCGGAAGTCAAGCCAGCCATAAATATGGCATTGTTGTATTATACATCTGGCCAGTTGGAAATGATTAAAGTTTGTTTACTTTGCAGGTATTATAATTATCGTGTAGTGTTACACAATGCACAGACTGAAGTGAAAAGATAAAATGTAGCAACCAATGCTAACAATATAATGTGTTATGCAAATGTTGTTATCTGTACGAAAACATTTATTTGGGTTTCAGTGTAATAATTCTCTGTGTCTTTCTTCATGCTGAGCAATTAGCGTGTCCACCCACGCCGAATGCAACGTTAGTTCATTTGGAGAATTGTGTGACAAGCCATGTCCCTCACAATGCGCTGTTCCAAAGAACAGATTTGACAGATTCTGTGACTTAAACAGCGGAACCTGTCCTGAAGGATGCAGAAGAGGCTGGTATAACAAGTATTGCAATCAAACCTGCAGCACTAACTGCTCGAAACGTGTCTGTAATCAGCAGAATGGGCACTGCACCCTCGGTTGCATTGACAACTATGTTGGACCTTTCTGTGACACTGGTAAGTACAAAACAGTGAGTGTATTCAAGACGTATTCTATTGTCCAAGCTGTCACACTTTAAAGGTTTTCGCTCTATTTGAAATATATCTTTTGGTATTAGTGAAGTGTGTCTAAATAAAGTTCTATGTTTACTTGTTGACAAACAGCCAGACAACAGTTGATTTTGTCCCTTGTTTTTCTTTCATTCTCCTCCTGGCTTTTGAGTTCCCGAGACAACAACTGTGACTCCCGAAAAGAGAAACAACGTCAGGTAGTAGATATGTAATAGCTTCAAAAGGTAGTAGCAGATATGTAATAGCTTCAACACTGGTAGTGGATATGTAATAGCTTCAACACTGGTAGTGGACATATAATGGCTTAAACGTTGTTAGTGGATATGTAATAACCTCAACATTGGCAGTAGATATGTAATAGCTTCAACATTGGTAGTGGATATGCAATAGCTTCAACATTGGTAGTGGATATGTAATAGCTTCAACATTGGTAGTGGATATGTTATAGCTTCAACATTGGTAGTGGATATGTAATAGCTTCAACATTGGTAGTGGATATGCAATAGCTTCAACATTGGTAGTGGATATGTACAAGCTTCAAACATTGGTAGTGGATATGCAATAGCTTCAACATTGGTCGTGGATATGTAATAGCTTCAACATTGGTAGTGGATGTGTAATAGCTTCAACATTGGTAGTGGATGTGTTTTAGCTTCAACATTGGTCGTGGATGTGTTTTAGCTTCAACATTGGTCGTGGATATGTAATAGCTTCAACATTGGTAGTGGATATGTAAAATTAAAATTAACTATTGTGTTCTTATTGGTGTCATCATGAATCACAGACTTTGTATTCACAGTGGGTACTGATAGCAATGAGCGGACGAGGACTACTACCACTACAGAACCTCCATCAGATGGATCCGTCCTAGCTATTTCCTTGGCAATAGGGATCACAGTCTGTGTCGTCATTGTGCTTACACTAATTTTCTACCTACGGTAAGTAAGGTTTAGCACTAGTAAAAATGAAATAGTTAATAAAAACAAAATCATTTCGTTGTTTCACTGAACAATACTCAAAATATAATCTGGGTAGTGATACAATATCTTGGGAACGTTTACATATTCTGGAAGTAAATATCGTATATTGTTACAGTAATCTAGTATTAGTAAAAGTATGAAAATATTCACAACTATAGTTTGATTTATGTAAATGTTGAACGTGCAGAGTAACAGATCACAGGCCACAGAGTGTCTAGTGAGATCAATGCCTGCATGAGATAATTATGATATATTGTTTAATCATGATATATTGAATGGCTGAACTGAACTGAACTTTATTTCACTCGGGCATCATAAGAGGTATAAAAACAATATTTACATTTATACAATATACAAAATAAATGTTATATACAAACGTCATGATAAAAGCAATGAACATTCAGCAAGTTAGATATTAAGGTATTGAGGTTATGTTTTAAATATAGCCATAATTATTTTACAAACAAGTGAACGTTTTCTTAAAGTTCCTAGCTTATTGGTGTTAAAAAGGATAATCATTGTATACATATCTGGTTTAATATAATAATAATCGTGGATATATTTTTGTCTTTCTAATTCTAATTTGAGACAGATATATAAATAATGAAATTCGTCACCAATATCATTTAAGTTTCTCAGAGTACACTTTCTGTCATTTATTGGGATTCGTCGCCATCTACCTGTTTCGACTGGAAGGAAATGGCTGGAATTTCAATAGTCTCACAAGCAATGCAGAAAATTAAGGCATTGTTCAAAATTGAGGGATTGAATGTTCAAAATGCTATTTATAAGTGGTTGCTTTGGAAGAGGTTTCAGTTGTTGGCATCTTTGTTTACAGAAAAATATTTTCCAATTTACTTTTGATAACAGTTTTAAGCCAAAATATACCAAAGTAAAACTCAGTCCAAGATCGTCGAAAATTCTCTCAAGACAGATTATTCGTTTATGTTTACATTTGCCAATCGCTGAATATCAATTTATATAGTAAGAAGCTCAAATTTGACGATTTTCTGGTTAAAAGGTGAAAAAATGGAATACATTGATACCTATGCACAGTGATGAAAATCTGGTATGAAACGATTTGGAGTCATTTCGAACATGAAAACTCATGTCATAAATCGGGGGTTGAGGTTTAAATAATTAGGTATACTGTGAAAGACATGAGTGGCTTTTGAGTGTTTGTATTACATTCATTTGAGAGAATGTTTGCCATAAATTGCCTTCATGTTTGTTTTCAGGCGTAAAAGAAATGGTGAGTAAATTTATTTTTTAACAATAACAATACCTTCAATCATAAAAAAAGATGTGCTACTTTGTAACAAATCTGTCATTAAGGTGTGTCCGTATGTCTCAAACAGAAGTCGGGGGTAATTGAATACGTAACAAACCTGTCATAGGAGGCGAGGCTCTTTAGATCTTTCATCATGTACGTACGGCGATATATTCAGCATTATAACAATAGAACATATAATCATAGAACATGGGTATACGAATGGACGTTGTATAACTGCATCATATAACATCCATTTGATGTTGTTTCAATTGTTGTTTTCAGGTCAACTCAACCCTGATGCTGTCCAGAGACTACTTCCAGGTATGACATATAAAGTGGGAAAGATGTAGCGCTAATTCTAGAGAATTCCCCAAATATAACGCCCTTATCATGAAAACAATTTCCAAAACCACGTACATCATTAAATTCCAATCGTTATACATGTTAGTGTCAGCACCACTATGACATACTCTTCCAATGACTGTAGCTGTTCACACTCTCGCTGACAATATGAATCAAAACTGACACTATACTTTCTGTTGCCAAAATGCAGTTATTTCCGAATGACACTAAGAGGTTTTATTACTACTAAGGTTGTAAAATGTCTGTTTCAGCAAGAAATCTGGATTGCAGTCGCCGAGACGACACCATGCTGCATAATGCCTGTAGAAGAGGGACCCTTGCTCAAGTCAGACAAATTGTATCTCACGAACTGGTGGACATAAACAGCAGAGGAAAGTGTGGCTGGACACCAGTCATGATAGCAGCTGAGGGGGGACGCCGAGAACTAGTTGACCTCCTTGTGAGAAGAGGGTGTGACCTGTCACTGACAGATGATGACGGTAACACTATCCTTCACGTGGCTTCTATCAAAGGACATTTGAAGATAGTGAGATATATCCTCTCAAAGAAAACAGTTGATGTAAACATTACAGGACACTGTACCAGGACAGCAGTGATGGTGGCAGCAAGGTTTGGACATCGGAAAGTGTTTGACGTACTTGTGAAGAACGGAAGTGACCTTTCAACTGTTGATTCAGATGGTAACAACAGTCTCCACACCGCCTGTATCGGAGGACATGTGGAGATCGTGAAATATATCCTCAACAACGTCAGTGTTGATATTAACAGCAGGGGGCACAACGGAAAGACACCACTGATGTTTGCAATAAACTTTGGTCATGTACGAGTCTTTGACACAAGAAAAAAAATGGTGATTTCCAAAAATTTCCAATTTGGAAACATCGTATTTCCAAAAATTTCCAAAATTGGAAAGATGATGTTTCCAAGGCTTGGAAATTTTTGGAAATTTAGGAAGGATTTTACCACTACTTCTTTCAATTTCTCCTTTTCCCCAAGGATTCCCGGCCCATGAGTGTATGGCATTGTGTAATCATAGCTTTCGGCCGTGGGAGCCGTGCCAATTAACACTTATCAGAGGGGTACACAAAGCCCGCAGTCTAGATTACCAGTTGTCCGACTTCCATTTTTGTGGAAGTCGCGGTAGCTGAGTTGGTTAGAGGCTGATTTTGTGCTGGCGATAGGGTGCCTGACTGAGGGTGTGAGTTCGTATCCCGGATGGTGCTCAACTCAAAAAGTACTAGAATTTGTACTTTACTAAGAAAGTGTAATCCCAAATATAACACATGTTCCATGAGTGTATAGACTGAACTATTTGACGAATCTTTTTTTGATCTGTTAGAGTTCTTATTGTTGATAATGTATCTTGCATGTGACATATTTATTCATGAAAAATCTGCAGAATACGCCATATACTAGTATTCATATTATCCCTTTGTGCTTGATATCAATGCAACTGTGTTTCACGCGTGAAGTGATAAATTTTTTAAAGTTGGGATATAGAGTAGGTGTTTACTATTAGACGTCCTATGCGACCAACTAGGAACCAATTCTATATATTAGTTTAACTTCACTGATCTGCATTCTTCTTGTTCTATGTGTCAGAAATTGATGATGACTGTTCTATTTACCGCTAGTATGGTCGAGCATTTTCAAAAGTCAGTTTCAAGTGTATGTTTTAGTTGTTATCCACAAACGCGCAAATGTGTTTAATTTCAACTCTCCCACCCCAGCCCTTTCAATGTTCGTATGAATACAAATTCCATACACCTAAGCTATATGGACTATATGACAGTGACTGACTGAGTGTATTACATGCCATGAAAGTGAACCCGTGCCATGGCGTAATGGGGTATTCCCGTGAAGTAGGATTTTGTTATTACAGTATAATCTCGTTCATGTTGCGTCGGTGTTGTTATACGGGAATAAGAGACTGGGTGCTATAAAAATCTGAACTTGTTTTGAAATGTGATCGAATTTACTGAGTTTAGCTCACTGAGATTATAATGATACTGATTCATGTGTTCACTCAACGTCTACGGGGATGATACGGTCTACGTCTACGAGTTATTGATTAATCTACTAATATCTAACAGAGTGCTAGAGTTTTGGGTGACCTTCGTAGGGTCAGTAATAAGTTGAAATAGGTCATACATGATTTGAAAATTATGTATCTTATTATTACTTGGAGTGTTGGCATGGCAGATTTTAGAAGATCGCTAAAGGCCCTCCAAATGATAGTTGAGATATATTTCATCTTCTGATGATTAATTGTGGCAACACCAAATATATTATGTCATGAAAATGTCAAATTCAGTTTAGGCTTATTTCATTTCTTTACCCCTTCAACTTTTGTATCAACCTTGTGCCTGTTAAAACATGTACATTAACTGGCCTTTGTTCGAGATCACCAGGTCTTGGAGGTAATCACTCTATATATTTACAAGTCTACTTCATGGGAACTAATCGTAGTAGAATACATTCTCCAATTAACACCTGTCACAAGGGAGAGGCCATTTGAGTTTGTGCTCAATAACGGTGTTATGCAATGGGCGTATTCACGAAAATCATTAACTTGTCAATAGAAAAGTGGTTGTGTTGTCCAAACATGTGCGGATTGAAGCAGATACTCAAATGAATTCCCTTTTTACTGAATCATAAGTCTATATAGATTAATGTGATCATTTACAAGCAAAACGTTACAGAATGTTTTAATAAAACATTCATTTTAGATCAAGGTAATCAGCCCACACGCTCACAGATATGATAAGCCAGCCAATAGAATTTATGTTAATATCCCAGTTACAGTTATTTTGAAGGGTCAGGTCTAGATGCTTGTGATTATCTATGTCTTGAATTATCACACCGCTCATTGTGAGGTCAGGTTGGATGCATTCTACTCAACTGTAAAATAGGTTTGTCGCTGTGGTGACAATTATATACGTTTGAAAATGTTAAAACCTGCAATGAGAACACGACGCCATGCCAATAGCAACTCCATGCTTGTTTGACAGGTATTCTTGTCGATGCGTAGAGTAAGGGTTCCCATATTCATTCTTGTATCATTATCGAGGTTAATGGTACGTTAGACATTTGGGTCAAGGTAAAAAGCGTTTGATGTTTTGACTACGGTGTTGTTTTAAGGGATTCTACAAGATGAAAAAACGTGTTCACTCAAGAAAAGAAATAAGACATGTATACCAGACTACCAGTATGAGATTGAATCCATGTTAGTGAGTTCACACAGTCACTTTGATTTATAGATTAGTTCACTCAAGTTGTGAGGTATTCATTTTATTGCAGAAACTTGCTATAAGAACTTTGGAAATGACAGTTTTCACCATTATTTCCACAAATTCAGTTGTGCTAAATGCACAGTTAGATGAAGTTTCTTCCTACTTTTCGTGGTTATATATCTATGTGTAAACGGTTACCGGTATATGTTCATTCTGAACAAGGGGGAAGGAGAGAATGCATCTCATGGAGATGCAGTCAGAAAGACTGCAGAGCAACAGTCTCAACATTGAACGACATAATCTCTACAACGAACTCAAGGAAAATCAAATCTCAAATAGACTGTAACAAAAATAACAATTTTTTTTTTTAAATGTAAGTAGTGTTCCTAGCGTTATGTTAAAGGTCACATGCAACGTAAAACACAACTTTGCAGATTCTGATACCTTTCGGTATGGATTTACTGAAACAAATCATCAAAAATGCAAATTCAACTTATAAAGTTGAAAAATAATGCGATGACAAAAACGATAGGTTCGCGCAGCGGGTTGTCCGGTGAATACTCGGTGAAGGCTTTGGTGTGAGCTATTTTTTTAAATGTTTCGTTGATATTTCACAGGCGCGAGCTTTTTATGTTATGACAGTATATTACCAATTTAACTGTTTATATAATTTCATTTGTCTATTTCACCACGTTCTTCTTACCGAGTCACTTTCTCAGTTCGATTCTTAAAAGCAATGTCATTATTTAGCGTTGACAGAATAGCTAACTGTGACACAGATATGTCGTTGTCGCAGACAAGTGTCTGTTTTATTGACGCCTATGTGTCTACCTGCCTTTCTGCTAATGACAATGTTCAATACACAGCTTCGATCACTGACCACATGCAATTTGAACTTAACACCTATCAGGCTATACACCATAAACAAAACGTATTGATTAATGGCGTTCGGTCTCTGTCACATTATGTAATTACACAGACAGGCAGGTGTGATACTTGTACACATGACATGTTATGATGTCTGTTGATTGCAAAATGTTATACACAAAAAATGAGGATGTATTTACAAAATCCAACATCTCGGTATATACACACATAATGAACCGTGAGGGGCGTCTGCAAATGAACCAGCCGTTACACTTGAGTGCACACCCACTCGCTCTGACTGGGTTCGGTATCCCGGCTGCTTCGTTTCTTGGGAAGTAAACCCAAGTACAAAATATTGCACTTTTGATTTGCGATTGTACGCTTATAATTTTGTTTATATGTTTTTTTTTCGTAATCAGCAATGTATATTATGTCATGAATAAGTGATAATTGTGTTTTAATTATATTTGATTTTTTGGTTGCATGTGACCTTTAACAATATGATTTATCAAGAACGTTCAAAACAAATTTGCTTGTGTTAGTGCTATAAACTTCTTATAAGTTTGTATATATTATGTTTTATATATTTGTATTTGTGGAGTAACGAGCCAACGCCTTAACCACTAGGCTACCCAAACCATTTGTTTCAACTTTTAACTACAGTCATGTTTATAAAAGCTTGCTGACATTTGATTAGAGATAATTTCTCCGGTAATTATCAAGTAATTGTTTTGTTGGTAAATACATTGAGTCTGTAGCATAAATAGTAATTGACAATTATACATGTACCCTACCCCAACCGCCTCGGTGTGCTTTGAAGAAAATGTAAATTTGTGTAACATATTTTTGTAAATTTGTACATGGTATGTTTTTATGAAATTTAATCTTTCTCTGTCTTCTTGGCAACATATGTGCAATCTGAAAATTCTTTTCCGAATATAAATAAACATCAATTTTAAGTATGACACTATCCGTTTGTTTTTGGATCCTTTCATTTGCATGAAAGTCGGGAGTATTAAAGTAAATAGCGTATAATACAATACCATTTTCATCAACATTGCTATGTTGACCATGGAACACTATCAAGCTAACATCAACTTGATTTCAGTGTTATATTATGATAACTTCCTTATTCACACAATCAACTAAATCCAACACAATATAAGTTGCACCGCTTAAGCAATCCACCTCTTTGATGATCTCCTCGGTGCATTATCGCGATAATGACATCGCGAGATATCGAACGAGCCTACAGCTCAGCAGGAACAGAAATCGTGACAATTGTTGTGAAAATGAAAGCTGTATGTTTATCAAAGTGAATACATTTTTTAAGAAACCAAATTATTTATCAAAGTATACATTAAAATCAATATGGGTGGTACTTGTCCTCTCTGTAATGGTAAAATAACTGGATGGCTTTTGTCCTGCTCCCTTTCCGAGTTACAACTTGTTTTCATAGACGATTCTGTCGTAATTGCCTGGTGTCGCTGGGCCTTATTTGTTCGAGACCAGTCGCTAGTGATAGTGAAAACTATGATCAGCCTCGCTCATCTCGGTTACAGTTAATTTTTTCAACCTAGACAGTGCGACAGTAGGAAGGGTGGATGCCCATCAGATGCCGTTATTTGAACATTTCCCGGTAGTTCTTGTCTGATTGTATTAAAGTATCAAAGCAGTGTGGGCTTTTGCGGGTTTTCTAATGCGTGGATGGCATATTGACTCATCATAATTGATCCCATTTCTGTGGGTTTTTTACCTCGATATTTATTCACGTCATGTAAAAATATGACGTATAATATTAAAAAATGACATTTGATCCATTTGAATCCGTGAACTAAACAACCCCACTTTGCCATTGCTAGAAGGCTCTGAAAATTTACTTAGGTAAATAGGTACATACAGTTATAGCACACAGCAAATGCTTATATGTATTTCTTATGCAACAATGAAGTTCTGTCCGTATTCTCAAAATAGTGTCGGCCCATAGGTTTACACATGCAATACAGCAATTAATACTCCCATGTTTTAACCCGTGTTAGGTGGTATAAACCTACACATGTTATTTGTCATCATTCACTTGATTGTCAGTTAATGAATTTAAAACAGGTAACACCACTTAGATAACCCGACAAAGGTTCCCATTTTGCATTTCTTGTGTCTGGAGTAAATACCCAATATAATATACATCGATCAAAGGATTAACGGATAACACGCTGATTGATTAATTACTTTTATCTTACACAGCGGATTTGTCAAAAGGTATTGTTTATGTATGTAGATTAACTAATCAATACTGAATACACTCTGTCGTGTCTGTGTCTGCGTAAAACAACTTCCTTCTTTCGAAGGATTAACCGCCAAGACATTGATTGATTGCTCATTATTGGCTAACTAAATTACTTTTTTTGTAAAGAATGGCGGACATTATGCAATTAGTGGCCAGGTGTGCTATCTTGGGTGACCAATGAAACTATATACCTATGTAAAATACCTGAAACGATATATCACTTTTCGTGAACATGTATTAGACTGTTAAAAGACACATCATTTGGAACAGCTGCAGGTGAATGGCATACGGCTCGTTTTTGTGGATATTGATGGATACATTCCTCGAACAAAGTAATAGCCTGACATCATTATAACTACCTGTTTTAGTTTTAATAATTGCATTTTGTTTTTATTCATTTGTCGCAGCATTCCACAGAATTCATGATTTCGTCGTGAAGTAATGAGACAGACAACATACACTAGGGCGTGTGTGCGAATTATGATTTACAATGTCTAGATATTCAAGTTATAAGTAAAGGTAGATTGCCTTATTTTTATTTAGTTTCAAAATGCACATAAGTATGATAATAAACTAATTAGGATTATAAGACCAAATAGAAAGACGCACGTTGACTAGTATCTACATACTGGTGAGTGGACATTAACCATGGGAATGTAGCAAGATATTTATTGCGCAGTATGTCACTTCGACCCCCACCTCGCTTCCGAGGAAGAAATCGTTATGTTATAAGTTGTGTCATGCCAAATCCTGTTGGCCATAATTCCAATACATATTTAACTACGAGTAGAAAGTAGTTTTGCTTTTCTAACTTGATGAAACCAAACCATAATCTCATTAATTCTTTAACAGACTTTAGCCCGTCATATTACGATTATTAAAATGGCAGCGCCCTGTCGCGAACATCCGCGAGTCTGAGAATAAATGCTATTTAGGTTTGTTTTCACCGAGTTAAAAATCAAAACTACTTTCTACTGGTAGTACAATATGTATTTGACTGATGTCCAATAGGATTTTGCGTGACATATCTTATATCATAACAATTTCTCTCGAGGAAGCGAGGTGGGTGTCAATATTACACTACTTACAATATTATTGTCACTTCCACCACGACCTCGCTTCCGAGAAAGAAATCTTTATGCTTCAAGTTGTGTCATGGAAAATATTTTGGTCATCAATCATATATATATTGTACTACAAGTAGTAAGTAGTTTGATTCTTTAACTTCCGCGAAGCGATCTGGACAAATTTAAGATATCGTTCCAAGCTTCCACAACGCTCGCTTCGCACTCACAAACATAACCCATTTACTAAATGATTTAGCATGAACTGCGGGGTCCGGTGGAAATTAGTGCATGGTGACACCATCACTCGACCCCCCAGGACGGCAACGCAACGATTCGTTTTGCTTTGAGTAAGTTTCGTTGTTCAGACCATCCTTTAATGTTGGAATAAGGGCGAAAAGTAAATATAAAACAACATGAGTGATTCTACCCTCTGTGTATTGTACTTACCATTGAATCAGAGTACCAATTCTTTTTTGAATGTTCATTTTACTGTGATCTGAGAAACAGCCTTCTCCCACAATACTACATAAATAATCCATGTGAAACATTGACAAAAAGAGCGAAGTTTTTGAATATAGAGTATAAGATTAAATGAGACATTGTACACGTTAGCATACAGCTTAATATTATATATGGCGCTGGATTGTATTTTCATCTTTATAATTGTAAAACGGGTCGGTGGCCCTTGTACGAAATTAACTCTCACTGACTAGATATAAGCTTATGATGATACATATTTAAACTCAACGTGACAAATTCACTTTTCACCCACAACATTGAACACTTAAAATGTGTTCACTGCAATTTCGACTAGTCAAGTCGATAATCCTTTCGTTAACCCTTAAACAATCATTACTAAAACAACACCAAACATCAAAGACTACCGCCAGTCGCCTTAACGACCCCATGAAACACTCATGCCGCCCCATGCCACTATTGCAATTAGCCCATGCAGAACAATAATTTACCATCACCCACCAGTTATCTCCCCTTGCGGATATTTCCAAGATTGGAAATTTTTGGAAACATCATCTTTCCAAAATTGGAAAGTCTTGGAAACATCATCTTTCCAAAATTGGAAATGTCTTGGAAACATCATCTTTCCAAGACATTTCCAAGCTTGGAAAGATGGATTTTTTTTCCAGTGTGAGCTGCTTGTAAGTAACGGATGCATCTTGCATCTCGAGACTTGATGTCCGACAATCAACTAAGCTTGCTGGGGAACAATAAACCGGCCAACGTCGAAAAACTCGTACCCACCTTGATGAACATGGCAAAGTACATCGTCAACTATCGCAACCTGCAGCTGTACCGTCGCTGGGTATGAGGCTGACTAAAATTCATAGGGTGCTCAAGTTCAACCAAAGCCCCTGGATGGAGCCCTACATCAGAATGAACACAGCCACCAGTGATTTTGAGAAGAACCTGTACAAGCTCATGAACAACTCGGTGTTCAGTAAGACTATGGAGAATTTGCGAAAACGCGTGACCGTGAAGCTAGTCGAAAGAGGAAGACAAGCTCAGGAAACTGACAGCCAGCCCAGCATTCAACCGTAGCAAGATATTCACCGACGACTTGGTGGCCCTGCACATGAGGAAAAGCCACATCAAATTCATCCGGCCCGTCTATGTGGGGATGAGCATCCTCGACCTCTCCAAGCACCTGATGTACGACTTTTACTACAATGAGCTGAAGAAGCAGTACGGTGACAGGTGTGAGGTGCTGTACTCCCTGCTGATGGAAATTCGAACCGAGGACGTGTACGAGGACATGAAGAAACACATGCACCTGTACGACACCAGCGACTACCCCAAGGACCACCCCATGCACAGCCAAGTCAACAAAAAGGTCCTCGGCAAGATGAATGACGAGTGTGCCAGCAGGCCGATCTCCGAGTACATAGGCTTGACACCCAAGATGTACTCCATCCTGAAAGCCGACAACGGCAAGGGCGTCAAGAAATACGTGGTGAAACAACATATTAAACACGCCAGGTTCAAGGAAGCCCTGTTCAGGACCCGAAAATCTGGAGCTCAGAGCTAAATGCTCGAAACAAGGTCAAAGCCACCAATACTTTTGCTGTGCCAGTCCTCTCCTATTCCTTTGGAGTAGTTGATTCGACAAAACAAGACATCCAGAGTCTTGACAGTCTGACCAGAAAGTTCATGTCTGATAACAGAGCTCACTACCCTCGTTCCTCTCTTAACCGTTTATACATGCCAATCGATTCTGGAGGACGGGGTTTCATTAATGTGGAGGCTCTTCATGATAGAATTTTATTGTGTACTTCTGCACATATTTATTTGTCGGATGATCCTCTAGTGTTGCATGTTAAGACTCATGATGAAAGCAAGGAATTCCACAGCTATTTTAAGCGTGCCAAGGTTGTTGGACAGAATCTGAGATTTGAGGTTGATTTTGTTGATGGTTGATGTTCCACAATGTGTCCCTCTTGTCCCATACTACCACTGTATGTCGCAGGACCCGGTCGTACAGGATGGCCACCTTCCCCGAGTACTGGTTTCGAACCTGCCGGGCCAGCTCAAGGCTAGTGACCATGTCGAACTCCAGAGAGATGTTGTCGATGGTGTAACTTGCCTCATCACCGTTCGGCATACGCACGACTTTGCTGTAGTCGTTAAACGTGAGCTCGTATTCCAGCCTATCACCCACCGTGGCCTGGTAGAACGGCGTGTGCCCCGTGAGCAACTCGAAGTCGAGTGGCACACAAAATCGGTTCCCGTACGATTTGGCGATGGCCTTTTCAACCACCGGGACCTTGTCGAGCTGGTCTGACGTGAAGCCATACCCCACGCACACCCGAGTCGATTTGCTCATGCCTTGGTACACGTCGTTAACGTGTTCACCCTTGCTTTTCCAGAGGTCACAGTAGCAGTGAAACACGTCACTGTCAACGATGCTCAGCACCTCGTTGCCGCTGATCTTGATGGTTGTTTTCTTGACAATGGCACGACCTACGTCCCGCACGAGCTAGCATTTGTCGTTGTCGGAGGCCAACGTGTGGTTGAACGCCAGTCTAACCGTGCCGGTACGATTAGGTGATTGTCACCCTGGTTGGGGAATCGAACCAGCAGCGTTTGGTCCTGGTCTATTGTGCTGGGATTGTTGGTGATAGTCACCGACTGACGCATGGCTCTGACGCCGAGAGGCTCTCTTGATCTCCGGAAAGTGTCTAGCTTCCTCCCGTATGACATTGTTATATATACAAAATATAAGAGTTTAATATAATTAAGTAATGGCCGAAGGTGGTGGTTACAATGACATCCAGATGGATGATATGTGGGATGCTAGTGCCCACTCATTACGGGGTGAGGAGGAAACCTCGTTCTCGCAAGGCAACAGACTCCTGAAGCAGACCGTTGACAATTACTATGGCACATTGAGGCGTAGACACCAAGTCGAGCCTCTGTACCGAGACTAAGCCAAGTTTACAATCGAAAAGAATGGCACGCTGTGATTGAGGGCTAACCCGGATGTCAATCTCGTGAGAAACCCGCTTGCCTAATTGACACTCACCAGTCGCCATGGTGAGCAACTGATCCACGGTAAACCTCATAGATTATCGACCTAAGCTTCCCCCGAAGGCTCTCCAACATCTGCAAGCTACCAGGGCCTAACTCAACAATGACGGGGATGTACCCCAACGTGCCATCGAAAAACTGTTGGATACGTACCATAACAAACCCTTACCCGGGTTCGAATTTACCGTTCGGGAACTGTGGGGCTGGACCAGGCCATGCAAACCAATCGTGGGTCACTCGTGGACAACACGTCCAAACTGGACGTGATCGATGAACACATCACCCGTGAAAGAACTAATCCAGGCGAATACACAACCTGGAAGAGGAAAGGTCGACCCGACTGGAAGTGGTGTCCTCCTTCTGAGAACAGCTTCGATCCCAGATCAGCCGCGTGCAGGAAACCATGGACCAAGTCTTCTACCATGACAGGTACACCATTATGGAGGTACACCATCAACCCAACCAAGTGGTGGCGGCGCCAGAGACTGGATTAAAAAACATCTGAAATCACTCGGGGAAGCCCTAGCTAAACTCGCGGGTAAGGCTGCCGAAGCTGGTGCACGTAGCCGCTAAGGAATTTTTAACCACCTCGTGTGGTGGCAGGAGCTGTGGCGCTGGTCGAACCCTGGGCTCCGGGGATGGTGGTACGACTATGCCCGTTTCACCGGTCGAGGGAGGTGGGACGTGACTCACGTTGATACCCTGGTTGATACCCAACTTCTGGTCGGCCGTGGCTACGACTATTTCGTTGTTGTAGCCCACCACTTTGTTGATTCTCAGTTGCATGTTGCTCGGAGCCATGTACAGTCCAACATTGAACACGTAGTCGACTTTAGACAGAGCGTATTCCAACATGTCTTGGTAGCATTGGATGGCACCCGGTAGATCGACCGGTCTAGCAACAGCATCCTCGACGTTGGCCATGAACTGTTTCATTCGAAATCGGTTGCAGGCTGCCAATCTCCATTCCCCACGTCCATATCGTTGGCCAATATTGACGCCGTTTCATCAACGTCAACGTCTGCTGTGGGCCCAACGTCACCTCCGATGGATCCAGAGAGATTGGAATCGAGTCGTCTTTAGCGATGAATCCAGGTTTACCCTCAGATTCGCGGATGGCAGGCATAGAGTCTGGAGACGACGTCGTGAATGGTATGCCCAATGCCCAAAGTCGACAGATTCGGGGGCGGAAGTTGCATGGTGTGGGGTGGTTTCTGTGGGAACAACCGTTCCCGACTTCTGGTCATCTGTCAACTAGAACAAGATCACGACATACGGGCAGCATTATGTAAAAAATACCATAGAGCTTTCAATTTCGTGGATGGGGCTGACACCACCCTTATGGCAACCAGCATGGGATTAGGAGCGGTAGGTGTCGGGTTGTTGACCACCATCGTAGCCGCACCCATAGGGCTGGGCATTGAAATAACAGCTGGGATGTCAGGGTTGGTGGGGTTGGTGTTTAAGTTTGCATCCCGCAGATTACATCGTAAAGCATTGAAACACGAAGTTAGAATTCTAGCGGAAGCAAAATTAAACACAATAGACGACCGTATTTCCCCCGCGCTCACGGACAGTAAAATCTCAGAGGAAGAGTTTCGTTTTGTCCTCTCTGAACTCGCAAAATATCGTAAAATTAAACGAGAGATTTGGTCCAAGTCTCGTAAAAGCACTGTCATCAGCGAAGACGAGAAAAAAAAATACATAGAACAAGAAATACAACAAGCCCAACAAGCCTTCATTACCCAAACCAAAGAAATCATAGCAGGTTCACATTAAATTGTTTCGCTGAGATCAACATAGCCGAATGACCAGGAAAGTGTTGGTTTTCACCCGGAAGTTTGGGGGCCGAGCAAAAAGTGTTATACACACTAGCGGAAAAAGATAAGGGTCTGATAAAAGCTTTATTTGATAAATAAAGCTTTACAGAGGTTTTTGTCAGAAGTGATTTCGTACCGCTGTTGTCTATACTCCTGGCGACTATCATGATCCATACTTGAAAACTGATGTACTGCTGCTCGCCGATGTATTTGAAAACATGTATTAAGAAAACATGTTTGAAACAATGTGTTCTTGTCCCGGTGTGGGATTTCTCGAGTCCAGGTCTATCTTGGGATGCATTGTTAAAATAAGACTGGCGTAGAATTGAAACTGTTGACGGACTACGATATGCACCTGTATACTGACGAGGCCTACGAGGTGGAATTTCAATGGCTGCTAAACGTTATTCGAAGGCTCATAATACATATGTGGAAAGTCACAACCCTAGCCAGGTGTCAAAGCACATTCTTTATCTCGATGCAAACAATTTGTATGGATGGGCTATGAGCCAGCCTTTTCCCCTTGGGGGATTTGAATGGGTCTCCGAAGTTGACGTGAATAGTATTATGTCATACTCGAACAAAGGCTGCATACCCAAAGTTGACCTGGAATACCCCCGAAAATTACAAATGTCACCCAACAGTTATCTGCTTCCTCCCGAACGAGTGGATGTCTGATTATTAACGAAACTTGTTGAGAAAAAATAAAGCTGACTGCGGTGAGATAAAAAAGGCTAAAGGTGTGAAGAAGTACGTTGTGAACAAGCAAATAAAACACGAACAATTCAAGGAGTCGTTATTCAATGCTCGACATTTCAGACACGAAATGA